AGAAAGAAAGAAAGAAAGAAAGAAAGAAAGAAAGAAAGAAAGAAAGACGAGAGAGAGAGAAAGAAATAGAGCCATCATGGTAAAATATGATAATATATATGTATATGGACTGTAAAATATGATAAGAAAAAAGTTGGTAGGAGGAATGGTAAATTTATAACAGAAGTCAGAGCAGTAAAGTATAGAAAGAACAGAATCTCAGAAATGGATCTACTTTGCCTTAGTTTAACCTCCTTCTTTCTTCTTATGGAAACCTACATTTGTCTGAAATGATATAGATCTCCTGCTTGTTTCAAGTGTTGGACTAGAAGACTTCCAAGGGCCCTTCCAACTCTATTATTCTGTTATATGCAGACATATGGTTCAGCCTTCCTCTTGTCTTGCAAGGTAGCTTGATGCCAGAATCCTGAAGAATTCTGAGGTCCACCAAATTCATTTTTCTCCTATCTCATTTTCTCCAAAGACTACTTTCCCAAAACATTATCTAGTTTCAGTCATAACCATAAGTGACAGTATCATGCATCTGTATCATGCAAATTACATAACATGTATGGGGATGTCATAATGTGTCCAATTCTACCCTACTGCTGAGACCTCTGAGTACAATTTCTTAAGTTCAGGCCTTGAGTCACTATACAGGCAGTCCTTGACTTATGACCACAATTCAGCCCATAATTTCTGTTGTTTAAGTAAGACATTTGTTAAGTAAGTTTTGTCCCATTTTACGACCTTTATTACCACAGTTATTAAGTGAATCACTGAAGTTGATAAGTTAGTAACTTGCTTGTTAAGTGAATCTGGCTTCCCCATTGATTTTGCTTGTCAGAAGATCGCAAAAGGTGACCATATGTTTCCAGGACATTGCAACCATCATAAATATGAATCACTTGCCAAGCATCCAAATATTGTTCACATGACCATGGGGATGCTGCAAAGGTGTGAAAAACGGTCATAACTCACATTTCTCAGCACTGTTGAATGGTCAAATGGTCACTAAACGAACTATTGTAAATCAAGGACTAACTGTACTACTACTGACATTTATGAATTTTTATTTTCTATATCTTTATATCTTATTTCAAAATGGTAAAATTGCTTGCATCCATTACTACTCATAAAGGCTTCTGGGAGTTGTATTTCCATGAAATTTAGAGAACCACTGATCATTGTATTATTCATTTTCTCATACAACGTATCCCATATTTTCATTAGAACTGTACAGTATGTGCTCATCACAAGATGAGACATTCTAAAGTACTTGAAACTTTTCTCAATGTTTTTTGGCAGTTTGGTTGATTTCAGTAAATGTTTTTTGGATTTGCATTAATTTCTTTTTTATAGCCACGAGGGGAAAAAAATCAGGCTGCCCTTAAAGTTGTTTATGTATCTCTCAATAAACCAATGGGAGATTTGGCCAAATTGAAGTGAGCAGCTTCTTCTTTTGAAATGAAGTAAGGGTGGAATGCTACTGGTTCTGCCCAGCTCTATAGAACCAGTAGCTCTGAAGAACAGCGGACACTGAACCTGTTCTGTGTTTGTTGCTGTTTGGCCCACATGCCCTCCCGGGCTCTGTCCTTTATTTCCTGCTTTTTCAACCTCAGCTGCTTTGTGTGGCACAGCTGAGGTTGAAAAAGCAGGAAAAAAGTGGCTTTTCAAACATTGCGCACCTGCGCGCAGTGCTTTTCAGCTGTACGGGCGGCACAGCTTTAGGTTTTTTACACGTGCATGCAAAATGTGGTCACCAAACCAGTAGTAACACCGGTTGAATCCCACCCCTGAAATGAAGACATTTAATAGTAGCAAAGATGAGTCACTTACCAAGCTTACTAAGGCCTTGTTTACTTAACTAAAGTGTGTTGAAGAAATTGCAATTGTGTGGTTTTATAGAATGGCTTTTGCCATTAATTTGACTCAGGGTGATCTTATGTTCTGTTTTGTAGTTCTATACTGTGGGTTTTATATAGTATGTTTAATGTAGGTTGCTGATAGGTTATAAAGAATTTGACTGACTGGGAGTGGGAAGGGAGAAACAGTGGCTGTAATTTGTGGTTCAGAGACAAAAATGTGGATCTTTATGCAGTGCATTTCATGTCACATATGTTTTGGTCCATGATGTTCAGTAGACTGAAGATTTAAATACAGAGAAGAAATTTCTCTTTTGTTCCACAGAGTGGAGGTGTTG